CAGATAATTCTATGGTGAAAATATGTAATATTTTATACAAATGTGTGCTTTAATTAGCGATATGCTTCTAATAGAACAAATACTGTACATGTAGATGTACAGGTATGTGCAAATGTTTCTGCAATTTGGTCCAGTGATGAATTGATAAAATATTTGATTAATCAGTTTCTATAGTTAGATCTGATTAATCCGGATGAATTATACATGAATCTACTTTGGAGCCAATAATTCTGTTCCCAATTATCCAACTAATCAGAATTCAATTTTGGAGCGACTAAAACCAGATGTATTTGTGATACTTGGCTTCTTTTAGATACTGTCCATGTGTTTTATGTAATTTCTATTAATTGTCATTTTATTTCAGATTTGGCATCACCTTTCGCAATACATGTTTGTTACAATCCTTCGTACTCGTGTTCTTGCATTTATTCTTAATAGTCATTTGAATTTTGTCATTGTCTTAGCATCATCATAAAACCCTGGCATCTTGGCGGCATATGTTGGGTTACGCCTACTTTGATATATTCAGTACATGCAAATCTACCAATTAGTATGCCTCCGTTCCATTACAGGGAACCAATCAATTTACTTGTAGAAGCAGATATGTGCATTTGTTCTAAAACTACTACTCATTGGCCAATTTAGATCATGATGTAATACTACCGGTATGAGGTTATTACGAGAATACCTCAAAGTATGTACGAAGACAGTACAGCTGGAGTATCGACTGACAGGCAGCGGAGGTCGATGCGCGATGTACTGTCTGAGTACATACTTATTATTATACACATACAGCTTTGTGTGGAGATCGGTCAAATCCTGAGGGCAGCCATGTTTGTTTTTATTATTAGAGGACGTTTACGCCTGTACTCATTCCATTTTTGGAATTCCTATTTCCTTACATGGTAGGATGAAAATACCCCGCAAAATTATGGCATGCTGTAACTTATGGCGTTATGGTGACAGATGTATAATAATCATAAATATGCAAATCATACTTCCCAAGTACAGGCCTTGTCAGTGTATTTTGCTAGAGTGCAACATAGATTAAATGATACTTTGTATATAGTTGCCTTTGTACAATGTACAGATGCTTATTAGGTTTGGCATGAAATCCATGCTTATTAATTATCTAATTTGCATGATAATTAGATGCTCTTTTGCAATGTCCAACCCTGAACAGTTTTGGGTTGAAATTTGTACATACTAATTACCGAAATTGCATAATATTGATATCTCAACATTCGTCACATGTCATTGAAACTTGGTACTTAATATGTGCTTATATTTTAAATAAGGGTTGAACTGTGTGCATAATAATTACTTAATTTGCATAAATTAGCCAATTCATAGGTGTTCCACAGATATCTCCTGTACCAACCTTTAAATTTAAAGCGTGGTAGTCGTCCCGCTGCGCATGTGCGAGATATATGGGCCTCATATAAACAAAGATGGCGACTTTGACTGTTGCGCAGATCAACGGAGTACGAACTGACTTGGTAATTTTCATGTGATTGGAAGGTATCAAAGGAGTCACCGGCGGTTATCAGTGCAAGTCGCGCCCAGGTCAAACCTCATACTTGTGATTACCATTTGAAGAGCGCATTGGATTGTGAGAAAACAATGTTTATCAACACAAATGTCAAACATGCGCGACTACTGCGCTTTGAATGAAACTTGGTACATTGATATTCATTATCGCAGGACCATAAATTGTCATGTGACCTCATTAATATGCATAACTGTAGTATCTCGAGCACTGTTGCAGGTTGAACAATGCAATCAGACACATTATTGAAGGCCGCAGGCAAGATATCAGATGGCAATGTGACCTCATTAATATGCACAACTGTAGTATTTCAAGTACATTCCAAGATAGGGACATGTAAACAGTGAAATAATGAAGGCATCAAACAAGAGATGTGATATTAAAATAAATGGTCATGTGACCTCATTAATATGCATATCTGTACTGTTGCAGATAGGGACATACAACTAATACTATAATGACGTTTGTCAAAATATTATCACCAAAATATCAATTCATCATATTTTATTCATGCCACTGGGAACCAACTTGATCACTGCTTAAGTTGTGCATGTGTTTGAATGTAAGTGTATGGTCAAAATAAGACATATTTCAATGGTTAAAGTGGGGGTGTCATCACCTGCATATGCGTGAGTTAGCCATAGCGTGTCATTGTTTACAAACAAGCATCTACCCATGAGCCTTTCCGTTTTTAAAGTGTGTTGTTATCATCGCTTGGGACTCAATGACGACCCTCTCGCTTTAAATACGGTATTTCTTATTTGTACCTCATGCCTCAAATAACCTTAGCACACAAGAGTTGTTCTAAAAGTTTCCTTGCTTGGCAATTTCTTTTTGTTAACTTGTTTTCTTAGTCCCTGGAGGTCTAAAAATGGTTATAATTGACAAAATTAAGTGTCAAAACAAAGCACAACTTGTAGTTGCAATAATTCTTGTGTGATAAATATTACTTGGCAACAATTTTTTGTGTTTTGCACATGGAATGCCATTTGCTTTCAAATTCTATCACCTGTGAACTAGATTAGGAATCACATTGCAGTATAACTATGTGATGAGAGGTTTTCTCTCAAAATGAGTCTAAAATTTATAACAATTACAGTATTTACTTTATTAGTGCTTCCTTGATAGGACATATAAACTATGAATTGAAATCAATGTATAAAGGACTATTAAAATAGGACTTATTTTGACCTTTACACGACTGGATTACTAATGAAATGCAGTACAGAGGGGAAACTTTTTTTTAAGTTCATGTGAGCAGAGTACATTCATCCTTTCCTTAGTAGGGGTATTGGAGTGAGGTCACATTAAAGGGCAGTGGTCGTCACGTTACGTCCTGTTCGTTATGGGCCTCATAGCGACGTACACATCGCGTGTAAAATGTTTACATGAAATGTGAAAACCACCACCCTTTAATTTGTCCCGTTCGGCCATTCAGACGGCTCTTTCTGTACATAGTATAGGAGAAAGTAAGAATGCCTTCCAAGCAAATTACAAACATTATGTATATTAGAGCTTGCGTTATGAAGACGACCCAAAGCCAAATCTAAAACAGCAATGTAGGACTGAATTTATGGCACATACAACAGAGGACAGTGTGTATGACACAAATCAAGAAACAATAGCAATACTGTTTGTTTTATTTACCACCAATCCTCATTTCAGTTGGTGGCAATGCATATTAATTTTACATTCCTCAAGGAAACTACAACACGAAGCTATCGCCCCAGATGATGCACACATGCAATGCAGCATCCTTGGCACCTGTGCATAACAAGGGTTGCTTCAGTAAACACTTAGAAGGGTTATGGGGCATTGCATGCAGGGACATGCACACTTACAACCAGCAGTAACTTGTACAGACAATATTATAAATCCTTCACATGTGGAATATCATAACTCCCACCTCAGTGACTGTTGAATTAGGAGACAATACAATTAGGTGTACAAGAATACACTAAGCACCCAATGATAAACCAAAAGACACTCTCGAAGTGTCTTTAGACAAACACAGAAATGGAGTGGAGCAATGAATCTGGCTGTTGGCTGTAATCAGCAATAAAACTTTACTGGTAATAAAGGACACTCAAAACAACAATCTATTATTCGTTGAAAAGTAAGTACTTTAATATAATAATAGCTTTCAATTACAATTTTTGGAGGAATTTTTTAAGAACAAAACAAAAAAAAACCTCATGCTACACTGAATGAAAGATTTGTAAAACTAGATCATGAAAAGATAGGTAATGTTGTTGATGTCCCGTCATCCATTTCTTCTAGCATGTCACGAGACTTTTTTCAAAATCATCATTACTGTTATTTGTTTTACTGAAAATAAATTTATATAAAATATGTTTGCTTTGTGGGAAAGGTGGCCGACATTTTCCATAGATTTAGGTCAGTGTATTAGCATGAATGGAATCTAGTACTTTTACTTGCAAGCACGAAGTTTGAGTCGAACCACTTGTAGCAAAGTCGCGTTGTGTAAACATTCATGGTCATGTTTCAATTTCCAAAGTAATTTGGGGAGGGGATGGGATGGGAGGAGAGGGCAGGGGAGGGGAGGTATTGTTATAAGCCCTGTGGCAGGGTGTGTTGGGGGTACTTACATTAAAAGAGAAATATGGAGAAACAAGACATTTCTGTGTATTTGGCAGATGAAACCAGCACCACCAGTGCGTCTTGTGTTTTTACAAATTAAATTTTTGAATAATCTACTGGAATTAATTTATGCGCAAACTCAAACTCTGAATCAGTTTCAAAACCATCGGCAGTGCTTGAAAGCCCCCGCAACAAATTTCTATATACAATATTAAAAGTGCTTGATAAAGGTGTTAAATACATCATAAATTGTGGTAAACATCTGGTGGGAAGCCTACACTAAAACTGACTAGCATTTTAAATATCAAAAAAAAGTAAAGTTTATTACAAATACAATACTAGTGAGAACTTTTACAAATTAACTATTTTTTTCTTTAAAAAGAAAACCTCTGTTGACCTCTATTTGAAAGTTTGCATGTCTGTCACATCTGATTGTTCCTCTGCTCGTACATGAAAATAAAATGATAGCAGTTTGCACAAGTTCACACACAGTTGAAAAATTTAACTACTATTAACCCAAATTAAAATCATGATACATTTACTTGATGCCCGATTTCCTGACTTGATTCTGTTTTCTACACTGTACATAAAAGCACTGGTAGTTCATTTTTTTTTTTTTTTAAATTTAAAAAATAATACACAATTTACAAATTGAGCTTAATGATCTGTCCTGCGAAACTGACGACTATTGATTGTAAACCACAATCACAGGGTTTTTGTCGTCTTTAAATATTCTTATTGCATCATATTTATACAAAACACAGAAGGTCAATCATCAGAAATAAATGCAGACGGTTAACAGCATATACATGCAAGGTGGAGAAATGTTAGCTACTAAAAACAATGCTAGTATTGAGTTTTTCATTAAAAATAACTGAACTAAGTCATGCATTTACAGACAGAGATTCCACCACAGCCTGATAAAAGTGCTGAAAATAAGTGCATCATAAATAGTTGCAATATTCTTCTAGACCGATGTCTCTCAAACATTTGTGATTCTGTGGTTGTTGGTCCTACATTAAACCCAGATCTGAAAAGCAGAAAGAAAAGAGTTAACGATATATTTGTACAGACATACAGTGAACCACAGTAGTTATTCACTGTTTTAATCACAGTCAGCTGGTGTACACCTAATAATAAAATAAATACGATATTTACTATATAGGGGCCGCCATCTTGAATGACGCATAAAACTAAATAAGAGACAAGTTGTGAAACGCGTTTTTCAGATTCCTACAAATCTGGATAAAAATGCGATCAGTTGGGGTTATATTAAGCCAAGCGATTTGGGGTATTTGAAACCGAAATTGTCATCTGACTGTAAGGCAGTCGCTGATTGGCTGCTGACAATTTTTGGCTCACATGTGTATGATATTGAAGATATGCTTCTAGTAACACTTAATCACCTGCTAAAATTTTCTCTAGAAACCTGAAGACTATAAAAAAACTACAAGAGTTGGCAGGTGCTTTTCTTTCTGCTGCCCTTGTTGCCTCTTTTCTTTTGGTCTGGTGTCCTGCGGTTTATTTGGCGTACCAGATCGTAAAAGATCTCATTGACGTTGATCTTGGCTTTGGCTGATGATTCAAGAAATGCGCTGTTGGGGGAAAAACAAGATGC